CGGGCGGGCGGCCCGCGGCTGGCAGCAAAGCGGCGTGTGCCGGGCGGTGACACGTGGACGCTACAGGAAAGGGAGGAAGCGCTCCGGAGTCGATGCCGGGTGCTGTGGGAGGCAGGCTGGGCCGAGTGGACCTGAGCCTTTTGCTGGTGGGACGCAGGCAGAGGCGGGGTCCCTATGGCCATTCCTCCGGAACGCCGGAGGGGCACAGTCTGGAGTCGGAAACCCGGCCCATGATTGGAGGGAGGAAGGGGGATTCGGACTTGGAGTTAAGGGCTAAGATCTCCATCTAAGGATGCCGAGGGGGGGGGGTGCCCCTATCCCCGCGCCGCAGTGCCTTTTCGGAGCCACGTGGGGCGGGGGGGAGCGATTTCCCCCAGAGAACTTGTCTGCTTCCCCTCCCCCTCCAGACGGCCTCGGCACCCACGTGGACTGGGCTCAGGGTTAGGGGGGCCGCGGGTCCACGTGGGGGCGGGGAGGGGGTGTCCACGTGGCTCCCGCCTCCGGCTGCCCGGCGTCCTCGTATCGGCTCTAGAGCCGCACTGCCGGGAACTGGGTGTGTCTCAGCAGGTCCCGCCATCTCCGAGGGGGCTGGGGGCCCCGGCCGGGAAGGAAGGTAGGGGCTGCTAGAGTCAACTTTGCTCGGAGGCTTGGAGTTCCTTTTCCTCCCGCTTTGGTCCTCGGAACCTCCGGACGGCGTCTGGGGAAGGACTTCCCGGATGTGCGGGAAGTCTGTTCCCTGCGGATGGCGGAGTGTGCTGGGGCGGGGAGAGGGCTGAGGTTGCAGGGCTGTGGAGTGAGCTGTGGCGGCTTCTGCCTGACCGGCTTGGGGGGGATTGTGAGTCACGGGCACTGGTGTTTTGGTTGCCTGCAGTCCTGCCTCATTCTTGATTCAAGGGGAATGGGGACTGTCAGCATATACATGGGACAAGCTTAAGGAAAGGAAAGAGAATCCTCGCACCTTTCACTTTTTTCCCTCCAGCATCTCTTTTGAGGAGACAGCTAAGGTCTGCTGTGAACTGACAAATTGGGGTGGTTTGTGTTTAAGGCTGTTTGGAATTTTTGCTGGGGATGAGAAAAGTTGGAGGCGATTTGAGAACAACACTAGATGAACATTTATTGGTTTGGGGGATTCCTTCCTGTCAGATTATTATTTTCTTGGCCTTCAGCTCTCCATACTTCTAAAGTGTTATCTTTTTATTCCTCAGCACAGGACTTCTTATAAGTTCTCACCCAGAGTGGAGGTTGTGCAGGACTTAGTTTGAACTGTTATCTCTCTTAAGCAATTAAGCCGAGTCCTTGAAAGCTTTTTTTTGTTGTTCTCCAGGTGGGAGTTGGGCTGCAGGCTACCAGGTAGTGTCAGTTCCAGCAGACCAATCCAGGCCCTTGCCTAAGGGAGAATGGCTTCTGGGTCCCTAACTTGGGAGCTGTCACACCCTCTTCCCTAATTTTTCCAGAGGTCACCCTTTGGGGGAGAGGCAAGAAGGATTCATGATCTAGCTGTCATCTAAGTTGGGTGGTCATTTGGGGTTGGAAAGGTCTCATGAAGAGATCCCACCTCCCCCCTCACCACCAAATACAAAAAAACCCTGGGTATTTGGAATCCAGTCAACCAGCTACTTACTGAGAAAGCATTATGTTCAGACACAGGGAATACTGTGGTAAACCACTCCTGTCCTATAGGATCTCCTTTCCCCCGCCAATAGGATCTTATGTTTTTATCAGGCTGGACAGATAATAAGGAAAGTGCATATTTGAGATTATATAATCAGCAGTAGCAATCTACTTTGCAGGGTCTGGGAAAGACCATTTTAAGCTGAGACTCTAATAAGGCTATGTGTGTAGGTAGGAGACACTTTCATCAGAGGTAATATGCCCTAGCTGGTTTGCTCAGTGGGTAGAGCGTTGACCCTCAGACTGAAGGGTCCTGGGTTCAATTTTGGTCAAGGCCCTGGTCGGGGTGTGTACAGGAGGCAACCAATCGATGTGTCTTCCTCACATTGATGTTTCTATCTGTCTCTCCCTCTCCCTCCCATTCTCTCTAAAAATCAGTGGGAAAATATCCTCGGATGAGGATTAACAACAACAACAAAAAAACCCCCACAAACAGACATCAGAGGAAATAGTATGTGAAGGCCTTGAGGTGGGAGAGAACATGACTTATTGGAGAAACAGACTTGTGTGGCTGGTGTGTAGAGAGACAGGCAGGGTGGTGAGAGGACACACTGGAGCAGAAGAGTCTGGTGGGGAAGACCACGACCCCTTTAAGCCATATTAAGAAGTGCAAACCTAATGCCAAGGGCAGTAAGATGCTATTGGAGGGATTTAGGGACTGTTTCTGGAAGTGATCTGACTTATTTTTAAAAGTTTGTAGCTGGTTTTGAGCCATGCAGGGACAAGACTGGATATGGGTTCACTTTTAGCCTGGGTTTAGCCCCTAGATCAGGGGTGGGGAAGCTTTTTTCTGGCAAGGGCCATTTGTATATTTATAACATCATTTGTGGGCCATACAGAGTTGTCAGTTTAAAAATTAGCCTGCTATATTTGGTCAAACATTTAATTAACTCACCCCTAATGCCTTGGCTGGGCCAGACCAAATGATTATGCAGGCCTTATACGGCTGAGGCCAGACGTTCCCCATCCCTGCCCTAGATGATATTGGTACTCTAGGAGCTGTCCTATTTGGGGATTGAATGATGGGTGAGGTAAGGTGGAGAGGGGGGTGTCTCTGACTCGGGTTCCAGTACTGGTCTGATGGAGGTGATGAATCGTTTGTAGAGCTGGGCATTGTCTTGAGATTCTGGCCCAGTGGCTAGGCCAGGTAGGTGGCAGGACAAGTTGAGATGCAGCCTCCTTGCTCACCCAGGAGTGTTTGCTGAGCCAGGTGCTATTCAGCTGCTGGTTGTAATTACAGGATTGTGAAGGCGTGGGAGGAGTTAGTGCCTAAAACCTGCCACCTTTCACTTCATCTCTGTCCCTGGCCTCCTAAAGTGTTCCTATCTAGCCTTTCCTTTCCCAGGTTATCCTCAACTTGGTAGGAGGGTGGGTATGGGGTATAGTTAGTTACACATGTTGCTTTTTTTTCTCTTGGAAGAGATGCAATTTCCCTTTGCTGCAGAAGGAGAGGGGGAACTGGTTTATCCATGTTTGTTCCTATTCTCGGGCCTTTGCATCATATGTTTCCTATAGTATAGATACCCATGGCTCTGGCCTCTGGCCTTGCTCGCTCCATTCCAGCCACTTCTGGCCCAGCCCACACCCACATGCTTGACAGGCCTGGACGGGTGGCTCCCTGCCTAACAAGGCTGAAGACATTGCTAGTTCTCAGGGAAGTAGTGGGGTGGGGCTTTTCCAACTACAGAATCAAGCTTTCTCATCTTTAGCTCTCACCTGATAGGGTTAGGGAAGAGACTTTTTCCTTGGGACTACCATTGAGATATTCGGTGGCACACTGTAGGCCTTCATAATAAAAGTATGAAGTAAGTGTATATAAGACACTGTACTAGGCACCTAGGATGACCAGGAAGTATGTGTATAGTTTAAACCCTTATAAGAACCAAGAAGAACATAAAAACTATAGGATACGAAGGTTACTTGCCCCAAAGGAACTTGGAATCCAGTTTTAGTATTGATGTAAGGAATGTTATGGGCTGGGGAGGGGACAGGATGTGCTTGCCAGAAAAGTGAGTGGTACAGAAGTGTGTGAATTCAGCGGGGAGATCATCTTGAAGGTGTCTTCTTGAAGAAGATGGGATTAAACGGGAAGAGAGGCCTAAGAGGGATCGAGGGAGGTGAGGTGGTGGTAGTTGAAATTGCCTGCTTGCTGATCTCCTCTCCTTTGGTGTGCCCTTCAGACTGTTGGCCTTCACACTGCCATCAGACATCTCTTCTGAACAGTCTTTTTTTTTTAAAAAAATATATTTTATTGATTTTTTACAGAGAGGAAGGGAGAGAGATAGAGAGTTAGAAACATCGATGAGAGAAAATCAATAATCAGCTGCCCAGGTACATGCCCTTGACTGGAATCGAACCCGGGACCTTTCAGTCTGAAGGCCGACACTCTATCCACTGAGCCAAACCGGTATTTTATTGATTTTTTACAGAGAGGAAGGGAGAGAGATAGAGAGTTAGAAACATCGATGAGAGAGAAACATCGATCAGCTGCCCAGGTACATGCCCTTGACTGGAATCGAACCCGGGACCTTTCAGTCTGAAGGCCGACACTCTATCCACTGAGCCAAACCGGTTTCGGCCTGAACAGTCTTGATATTTTGACTCTCCAGTTTAATAATCTCTTGTGGCTCCAGCTCTTTCTGGATGGAGTCCAAACTTTTTTTTGCCTAGAAGGTCCCTGAGCACTGCCATCTTGGTAGGGGCTTTGGCTCACGAGCTGTACTTCTCTCTGCCAGCAAGTCTGGAGGTTTGGCTGTGGTGGGGCTCCTGCTGAGTCTGGGGCCATTGTGGAAGGCTGGGCACCTAGTTTACAGAGCATATCAGTCAGTTGCCCCAAAAGGTCCATGCCCTGTAGCCTTCACCATGCTCTTCTGACATCCCCCCTTTTCCCCCAGGTGCTGCTGCATGAAGAGGTGGATGATTCTGGCATTGTCAGTCTGTCTCGGCTGGGCCCCTGTCTTAAGGACAAGGACCTGGAGATGGAGGAGCTGATGCTGCAGGATGAAACACTGCTGGGAACCATGCAGAGCTACATGGATGCCTCCCTCATCTCCCTCATTGAAGATTTTGGGAGCCTTGGAGAGGTGAGCTAGAGCTGGGCCTAGAGATCTTTAGACAGGCAGTTTGCATGAGAGGTTATGGCTTAGTGCAGCCGTGGGCAAACTACGGCCCGCGGGCCGGATCCGGCCCGTTTGAAATGAATAAAACTAAAAAAAAAAAAAAGACCGTACCCTTTTATGTAATGATGTTTACTTTGAATTTATATTAGTTCACACAAACACTCCATCCATGCTTTTGTTCCGGCCCTCCGGTCCAGTTTAAGAACCCATTGTGGCCCTCGAGTCAAAAAGTTTTCCCACCCCTGGCTTAGTGGCTCCGTTCTCCCAGAACCTTGGTTCCTGAATACCCAACCTGAAGTCCATTTTTTGTCTCTAGGTGAGAGTTGGGCTGCAGGCTGTCAGATTATGTCCCATTTAAGGATGACCTGGTAGGCTTAGACTTTCCTTTCTCCTGCCTTGGCCCCTTACATGTGTAGAGGGTTCTGATCCCTGTTTTGAGCCCAATTCCAGCCTCACCAAAGGTTGTCTGCTAAGCATTCCACTTAGCTTGAGGGTGAAGGGAGTGTTTGAAACATAAGTTTATGACTCAGGTTTGACAGGTCTCTGTTGACACTACAGAGGTGGTAGATGGTAGTAAATGGGATTGGAACTCATGTCTCCTGGTACTCAACTTTGTCCTTGGCAAATTGAACTGAACTGAGAGCCTGGGAGACTGATTCTCTTGGCATTCAGTTCTTAGTGGCTCAGTAGGTCATTTGGGATGATGATGTAGAACTTTCCTGTTGTCTTTCTGGAGCAGAGCAGGTTATCTCTGGAGGACCAGAATGAAGTGTCACTACTCACAGCTCTGACGGAGATCTTGGACAATGCAGATTCCGAGAACCTGTCTCCATTTGACAGCATTCCTGACTCTGAGCTGCTTGCCTCACCTCGGGAGGGCTCCTCTGTGAGTGTGGGACCAGGGGAAGGGGTTGTGTGGTTTGGTGCAAAGGTTAGAACCATGTCTGTGGGTCTACTCACGTATTCTGAAGCACAAACTCATCTCAGGTTCTTTCTTTCTCTTAGCTGCACAAGCTGCTCACTCTCTCTCGGACACCCTCAGAACGTGACCTCATCACGTCAGTTGATCCGCTGGGGCCCAGTTCAGGCAATAGTAGAGTGAGTGGGGTAAGCCTGACCTAAGGAGTCTCAGGGAATCCCAGGAGGGGAGGAGTGTGTGGGGACAGGTCTGGAAAAAGATGTTCCTGGAAAAAACTCCTTCTGTGGCTTCTCTTCTCTCCTGTAGGTTGAGATGTCTCTCGCAGATCCCCCTTGGGACTTCTCCCCTTCTTCCTTCTTGGAGACCTCCTCCCCCAAACTTCCTAGCTGGAGACCCCCAAGATCCAGACCCCGCAGAAGCCAGTCCCCTTTTCCCCAACAGCGTAGTGATGGGGAAGAAGAGGAGGAGGTGGCCAGCTTCAGTGGCCAGATGCTTGCTGTGGAACATGGCAACTCAATGAGCAGCATCCCAGACTTTCCCATGCACCTGGCCTGCCCTGAGGAGGAAGATAAAACAGCAGCCGCAGGTATGGCAGTGCAGGCAGCTGGTGATGAGAGCATCTCTTCCCTGAGTGAGTTGGTGCGGGCCATGCACCCATACTGCTTGCCCGACTTCACCCACCTGACATCACTCAACAATGAACTTCAGGAGCAGCCGGATGATTTGACACTGCCTGAAGATTGTGTGGTGCTGGAGATTGTGGGCCAGGCAGCCACAGCTGGCAATGACCTGGAGATCCCAGTTGTGGTGCGGCAGATCCCTACTGGACCCCAGCCTGTGCTCCTGGATGACTCACTAGAGGCCAGTCCAGCCTTGCAGCTGCTCCTGCCTACATTTGAGTCAGAGACAGAGGCTGCTGTGACCAAGGAAGCCCTCTGCCTTGAGAAAGAGGGGTTGTCACTGGACTCAGGGGAAAAGCTGGAGTCAGCCTTGTTGGAGCCCAAGGAAATCATGGAGCCAATGGTGCCCAAGGGGCCTCAGAACCCACCAGCCGATGCAGCGCTGAGTTCCCAGAGAGCTCGAAAGGGCAGGAGAAAGAAGAACAAGAAACAGCCAGCAGCCTGTACAGAAGGCTATGCCATGAGACTGAGGTCATCCTCTTGTGGGCAGCCTACTATGGCTACAGGGGTGATCTCTCAAGCAGGCACTTTGCCTCAGGAGGAACTTCAAAAAGAGGTTGGGCCTCCCCATGGTAGAGGGAAGCCCCGGGCTTGGGCTCGGGCCTGGGCAGGTACCTTGGAGAAGCCTAGCTCTGGGAACTTGGAGAGTAATGCTGGACAAGCTAGTCCTGCTGAAGAATGTCCTCTTGACCTCTACCCCAACCTGGGTGACACCATCGAAGTTAAGCCTGTTCCAACCCATATCACATTGGTTGATTCTGCTAATGCCGACCCCATGCCACTTGATTCTGTTGAAACTGATCCCTCTGCAATTGATCCTGTTCTAGGTGACCCTGTATCTGTTGACCCTGCATTGGTTGACCTTGCTTCATCCAACTCAGGGCTGGTTGACCCTCTTCCAGCTGACCCAGTGTTGACTGAGCCAGTCCTGGCTGACTCTCCAGCAGTTGACCCTGCAGTGGTTGTTCCTGTCTCAGATGACTTGCCACGAGTTGACCCTGTCTCCACCAACTTAGCACCAGTTGACTCTGTTCCCAATGACCTGGCTCCAGTTAAGCCTGTGCTAGTTAAGTCTAGGCCAACTGACCCCAGACGTGGTGCAATGTCATCAGCCCAGGGGAGTCCAGCCCCCCAGCTCCTTCTAGAGTCAGAGTCCTTGGACCCCCCAAAGGCCATCATCTCTGAAGTTAAGGAGATCGTGGGTCCTCTGAAGGTGGAAGGTGATACTAATGCCACAACCCAGGAAACCAGACCTCGGCCTCTTAGTCTATCTGAGTACCGGCGACGAAGGCAGCAGCGCCAAGCAGAGGCAGAAGAAAGGAGTTCCCAGCTCCCATCTGGGAAGTGGCCCAGCCTCCCAGAAACCCCCACAGGGCTAGCAGACATCCCTTGTCTTGTCATCCCACCAGCCCCAGCCAAGAAGACACCTCTGCAGAGAAGCCCTGAGACTTGCTTTGTGCCTGTGGGTGGTCCCAGTCCTGTTTCTCCTAGTCCTGAGCCACCTACAAGCAAATCTGTGGCCTCAACTCCCACTGAGCAGTTGCCATCCCAAGAGATGCCACTGCTAGTGAGACCTCCACCTCCTGCTGTGCAGTCCATGCCCCCAGCAATGCCCACTGCTGTGCCTTTTCCACCGGGTGGGCTGGGCATGACTCCCATGCTGCCCCCACCAACCTTGCAGCCTCCTAGTCTTCCAATGTCTGTGGGGCCAGTGCCACCTGATCCCTATACTCACTATGCTCCCATGCCACCCTGGCCTTGTTATCCCCCAGTGTCTCCTTCTGGCTATCCTTGTTTGCCGCCCCCACCAACAGTGCCCCTAGTGTCTGGTACCCCTGGCACCTATGCTGTTCCCCCCACTTGCAATGTGCCTTGGGTACCCCCTCCTGCTCCAGTCCCGCCTTACAACTCTAGCTGTACTTATGGGCCCATGGGGTGGGGTGCAGGGCTGCAACACCCTCCATTCTGGCCTACTGTGCCCCCACCACCTTTGCCTGTAGCTTCTGTTGGGAGAGCTGTTCCCCCACCCAAGGTGGAGCCCAGTGGCATCCCAGCTGGCCCTCCTGAAAGTTTACCTCCTGTACCGATGGCTCCTCCCCTCACTCTGGGTTCAGCTGGCCAGGGAGCTCCACAGATAGAGCCCACCAAGGTGGAGGTCAAACCAGTCCCTGCATCTCCCCATCTGAAACACAAGGTATCCTCCCCAGTGCAAAGCCCACAGAATAAGGTTTCACCATATCTGCCTGCTGAGAGTGTGGCTATTGAGGAGCCTGCATCAGAGAGGTTAAAACTTGAGACCCAGGAGACCAAGTCCAGGGAGAAGACACCCTCTCCTGTTGCCAAGGCTGTTCCCACACCAAAGCAGAGCACTGTCACTAAGTTGCCTGCTGTCCACCCAGCCCGTCTAAGGAAACTGTCCTTCTTGCCTACCCCACGTATCCAGGATCCTGAGGATGTGGTACAGGCTTTCATCAGTGAGATTGGTGAGTGCCACACAGTTGGTGTCAGAGTCAACTGGTATTAGGTTAGCGGAGGCAGGGTCAACTGGTGGCAAGTCATCTGTTGGTGTGAAGAAGGGAGTTGGGGTTGGGTGGAGAACGTCCTCCAGAGATTAGGATAAAGTACCTGGCTGGGGGGGCTGGCCTTTGGATTTCTTTGGAGGGTTCTTGAGAGTCAGAGCTTTGGGTTTGTTTACTTCTTGCTTTGTATTCCTGTCTTGGTTTATTAGTATAGTGAGCAGGGGGAGCATAAAGGGAGAGATGACGTGATTTGGGACTTCCTGGGACCTGTGTACTCAATTGATAGGAGCTGTTTTCCAATCCTGTGTTGTGTGCTTCCACAGGAATCGAGGCATCGGACCTGTCCAGTCTGCTGGAGCAGTTTGAGAAGTCAGAAGGTGAGGGAACCTGGGGAGCTTTGCTCCAACCCCTTTTTAAAGTTACTATTTCCTTTGGGCCCAGTTTATAGTTACTTGAACTGGGGGAAGGACAGCCTGAGCCACTAGAGCAGTCCCCTAATGGAATGGGAGACAAGATCCACCTGTGATGCCATCTAAGCCAGGGAGAGGGTACAGCGTGGCAAGTATTACAAAGAGTAGACCAATGGGGAGATGTTTTCTAGAGGGAAGTAGCTCGCAAGGTAGGCCTTGAAAGATAGGCCTTCATAGAATGCATGTGGTGAATAAAGGCAGAGATACAGAAATGATTGAGTGTGGTGTATTTAGAAGGCAATGGATAATTCAGCTTTTTCATTGCAAGGCATGGTGCTGCTGTTGATACTATATCCTGTTCTCAAGGAACTTACCTAATTGGGAGGAAAAGTCTGCAGAAATGACTCCTAAATTGGTAATGGCTATCTATAGTTCAAGGCAAAATAAAAATGTAACTGTAGAACAAGTGTAAACTATAAGACTAGGAAGTTGGGCAGGTCATGTAGAACCTTGATTGTTAGGCTCAGAAGTTTGACTATCTCAGATTCAGTGGGTAGTGTGGATGTTTCTGAGCAGAGAAGAGACATGATTAACAATAGTACCTGTGCACACACTGGAGAAAAATGGATCTTTCTGGGGAGAGCCCAGTGGAATATGTAGGCAAAGTGGATTTTCCTCCTTTGGGTCTCAAAGCCAGCCCTTCTATACCTCCTCAATTTGGAACATCTGGTTGGGCTTTTAACTAGTATGGTTTCTTTGCAGCCAAAAAGGAGTGCCCTCCCCCGGCTCCTGCTGACAACTTGGCTGTAGGAAACTCAGGGTAAGTATGGAGACATGTGAGCGAGTTACCCTACAGCTGTTGGTCAGCAGCCGGCCGGCGCTCCAGGATCATTCATTGGATGCCTCTGTTGCAGTGACGTTTAGTCAGCTCTAGAGTCTTTTCCTGTTTCCACATCCCCATGCTCAGCTCATCACTACTGGGCACTGTTTTGGGTGGTGAGGTAGGAGGATGGATGCGTACCAAGACTTTGGTTGATTCCATTCTGGGGTTCCAAATGTCCTAGAGGTGCCTTTTGTCTTCTGGCAAGTCATGCCTTTGGGGGGTTTTCATTTAACACGTTTTAAACTTGTTCAACACTGGTGATAATTTAAGATAAGTGGGGGAAGATGTTGATGGCTAGGGCTTCCCTGGCTCCTTGGAGGATACAGGCACCCTACACCTTGCTCCCCGGTCTTCCAGGACTGAGAGGACTTCTTAAAATTTTTCTTGTTCATGGTATGCCATGCTGTTCTGCCAAGCATATTTCTCTCCACATTGATTTTGGGTTGGTTTGAGCCGGGCAGGTAAAGCTGGCGTGAAGGAGGTGGGTGGGGGGTATTTAAGATTATCGTTGAGTTGCCTCCTGGCATTGGGCAGAACTGAGCTAAGACCCAACCTACAGTTCAGTCACCAAGACTGTTTTTGTGCTGGGGGAGAATGATAGGGGCAGGTTGTGCATCCCATTCCTCTCTGCACACACCCCTCTCCCATTGCTTTGTGAGGAAAGCAGATGTACAGATGTTGAGGAGGCAATGAACCAGGCTTTCCCTTTTCCCCCTGCCAGCAGCGTTGACCCTCCCCAGGAGAAGAGGCCCCTAGACCGGTTACAAGCCCCAGAACTGGCCAACGTGGCAGGTGGGTTCAGGGTGGGGAACTCTGTCTTTGTTTAGTTTATGCAGTAAATGTTTGTAGAGCCCGATCTGATCCTCCTCATTGAGGTTCTCACAGTCCAGGGGCAAGTGGCAAAATGACTTTGTTGAGTATCAGAGGTTGTATGTCAAATAAGTGGGGTCTGAAGGGGGAGTGTCAGGGATGGGTTGTATGGAAGATAATCTCCAAAGCAGAGGCTTGAGAAAATCACTGATACCAATCAGGTAGGTTTAGGGGACAGAGAATTCTGTAGATGAGCATCTAGAGTGAACTGAAGAAATAAAATCAGCCTGGTATGTTTTGGGGAATTGCAAGTGGTTAGGTTTGGCTGTGGTATAGTGGCTGATCAGGATGGTGATCAGAGCTAAAGCAAGAGATAAAAGCTGGAGTGGTAAGTAGGTCAAATTATGGGAACTGCCGAAACCGGTTTGGCTCAGTGGATAGAGCGTCGGCCTGCGGACTGAAAGGTCCCAGGTTCGATTCCGGTCAAGGGCATGTGCCTTGGTTGCGGGCACGTCCACAGTGGGAGATGTGCAGGAGGCAGCTGATCGATGTTTCTCTCTCATCGATGTTTCTGGCTCTCTGTCTCTCTCCCTTCCTTTCTGTAAAAAGTCAATAAAATATATTTTTAAAAAAAAATTATGGGAACTTTGTAATGGTAAGCTATTTGGACTTTATCCTGTGCATGGAAGAAGCAATTGAAAAAGCTTTACTGAATTGGTTTTTGGGTGCTCCCTCCAGCAACAATGTAGAAGACAGGTGGACAGGTGTGAAGCTCAAGGTAGGGGATCATTAGAGATGACAAGTCCCGACAAGATGCAGCCAGAAGTCAGGCAATGCTGGAGTAGGGTGGAGGGGTCTAGGAATGGAGAGGTAGACTGGGCAGGACCTGGTCACCAGTTAGGTTGGGGCAATGAAAGGTTGATGGATTCAGGAAGACCCTGGCTGGCGGGGTTTCTGTTGCTGGTCCCCAAGATGGGGAACTTGGGGGAAGAAGTAGTTGCAGCAATGGGAGAAGTTGGGCTGTGGACCATTGTGGTGAACTTTGTGAGATGAGGTGGGGGTCTCTGGAGCTTACATAGTGTTTGGAAGTGTAGAATCGGATCTCATCCTGCTATCTCCATCCTCCCTCCCCTCACAGGGCTCACCCCTCCAGCTACCCCTCCCCACCAGTTATGGAAGCCCTTGGCTGCTGTTTCCCTGCTGGCCAAAGTCAAATCTCCTAAGTCCATCGTTCAGGAGGGAACCCTGAAGCCTGAAGGAGTTACAGAGGCCAAACATCCAGCTGCAGCCTGCCTCCAAGAAGGGGTCCATGGCCCTAGTCCAGTCCATGTGGGCTCTGGGGACCATGACTATTGTGTCCGGAGCAGAAGCCCCCCAAAAAAGACTCCTGCTCTAGTCTTTCCAGAGGCAGGCTCCCGATGGAACGTCAAACGCCATCAGGATATCACCATCAAACCTGTCTTGTCCCTGGGCCCAGTCGCCCCTCTTCCTCCAGGCACAGCTGCCTCCCAGGAGCCACTTGATCACAGGACTAGCAAAGAGCAGGCAGATCTCCCAGCCCCTTGCCTTGCCCCATCTGCCTTGCTGTCCCCTGAGGCCTCGCCCTGCCGGAATGACATGAACACTAGGACTCCCCCTGAGCCCTCAGCCAAGCGGTCAATGCGCTGTTATCGAAAAGCCTGCAGGTCAGCCAGCCCCCCGAGCCGGGGCTGGCAGGGCCGCCGTGGCCGCAGCAGTTCTGTCAGCTCTGGGTCCAACCGGACCAGTGAAGCATCTTCTTCCTCATCCTCATCGTCGTCTTCATCCCGATCCCGGTCCAGGTCCCTCTCCCCCCCACACAAGAGATGGCGAAGGTGAGCTCTAATGGTCTATTAGGTCCTCTCCATTTAGGAAGTTTTTTTGCACATTGAGTTTGATACTTTCAGGCACTAAGGCTCCTGTTTCTGTCTTCGGCTTTTGTCTTCTCTGCCTTCCCTGGATTGTTGAAGGAGGCAAGCTGTGAGAAAATAGCTTCTGTCCTCTGTTGGAGTTTGGGGTATCCCTGAGGTCTCTGCTTCCTTGAGACCTGCCTTGGGGAAATGTTAGGATTTGATCTTAACCATGTTGAATCCTTTGAATACTCCTATCAGTCCTCATTTCTGGTATTTTCCTGGTGGTATGTGGGAAGGTGGGATTGTGGGTTGTTAATGGCAGACAGTCCTTTTAATCTGTTGAGGAAAGAGTCTGGGCAGTTCTTTTGGGTGTCCCTGTGGCCTCATCTATTTCCTGGCAGTACTTTTTTTTCAGTATCAGACCCAGATTTCCTATTTAGATAAGGTAGCCTTTATCTCTTTTAGTCTTCACTTATTTTTCTTCTTTCTGATTTGTTAAATATTTTTCAATCTTTAATTGCATAATTGAAAAGAAATATGACCTATGCCAAAATACTCTAGAACATTCCAGATACATCTAAAGTTCATCAGGGCTTCAGTTTGGTCATCTTTGAAGAGTTTTTCTAGACCTCTTCAGCTTTCTTTTGCCTTTGGTCCTGTGCTTCCTGAGAAGGAGGCAGGGCTGCTGCCAAGGTGAAGTAAGTAGTATATACCTGCACCATTCCCAGCATTCCTATGCGCCCCTTTATTCTCTAGGTCCAGTTGTAGTTCCTCTGGATGTTCCCGAAGATGCTCTTCCTCTTCCTCATCTTCCTCCTCATCTTCCTCATCCTCATCATCTAGTTCCCGAAGCCGGTCCCGCTCCCCATCCCCCCGCCGGAGAAGTGACAGGAGACGGCGGTGAGCATGTGTTCAGGGAGTCAGTGCATCTGGGGTGTAAGTGCCTGAGAGTTCAGAGACTTAAGCTGTCTAATGTCTGGGTGGTTGATGGCACCTTCTCTTGTCAGGTACAGCTCTTATCGATCACATGACCATTACCAAAGGCAGAGAGTGCTGCAGAAGGAGCGTGCAATAGTGAGTAGAGGAACAGGTCATGGGAGTGGGGGGAGTTTTCCCCTGAGTCACAAGCTCAGAGCCTTCTGTAGTTCTGGCCCTGGCTCATGGTATGTAAATTTCCCTTGTCCCAACATAGGAAGAGAGAAGAGTGGTCTTCATTGGGAAGATACCTGGCCGCATGACTCGGTCAGAGCTGAAACAGAGGTTCTCTGTTTTTGGAGAGATTGAGGAGTGCACCATCCACTTCCGTGTCCAAGGGTAAGCGTGGGCCCTAAGGTCAGGATGTACTTCGATGCTTTTTTTGTCTTTCCCCCTTGCTCTGTGTGCTGCACAACATTTTTTCACTCAGAGGATTGGCTATTTGGGGAATGAGAAGAATCACCCCAGTCCTCTGTACCCTGGTGGGTGTTTCTTCTCCATGGCATGTGCCCAAATAGCCAGCCTCTGCCTCACCCACCAGTGACAACTATGGCTTCGTCACTTACCGCTATGCTGAGGAGGCATTTGCAGCCATCGAAAGTGGCCACAAGCTGAGACAGGCAGATGAGCAGCCCTTTGATCTCTGCTTTGGGGGGCGCAGGCAGTTCTGCAAGAGAAGCTACTCTGATCTTGGTGAGTGGAGGGAGGCCTTGAGGCTTTGGTGTAAGGGCTCCCAACCTTTTGAGAGTGGGCTCGGCAGACTTGTATTCATCTGACACTTGAAGGAACCAAGGGGTGGGATGACTTAAAGTCATTATTGGGATGGGAGGTGGCTGGCCATCTGAGGACTCTGTGGTTGGGAAGTGTGGTCAGAGACCTTGATGTTTGTCTGTCTTTCTCTACCTTTATAGACTCCAACTGGGAAGACTTTGACCCTGCTCCTGTAAAGAGCAAATTTGATTCTCTTGACTTTGACACATTATTGAAACAGGCCCAGAAGAACCTCAGGAGGTAACCCTGGGCCCTTCTCCCCCTCCCCCTTTTTTTGGAGGTGTCCAACCATCTCCAACCCCCTTCCCCACTCTAGGGGAGAGAGCTGCTAGTGAGGAGATGACTGTTTTATAAAGAAATGGAAAAAGTGAAATAAAAAAATGTGTTAAATCAGATTTTTTAAAAGGGTATTTGTTTTTATAACAGGCATTGAAACAAGTTAATTTGCATTCCTATTTGAGATGGATGACATTGAGGGATTCCCCCTTTGTTTGGATGATTAAAGTCACTATGCAGACTAATAAATACGAACTAGAGAGAACATCCATGTGTTGTGCTTCTTTCTTTCTATGGTGTTAATACCAGACATACTCACTTTTCCTCTCAACACAGTGTCACGTTTACCTCCATTGAGTTCCTAGGACCCCTCTTTGATCAGGTGCAAAATCCTGTTGGACTTGAAACTTGGCTCCTCGAGTGTTTTGACAGTGAAATCAGTCATCAGGGCAGTGCTTCTCAAACTTTAAAAGGGCATTTGAGCCCTGGCCAGTGTGGCTCAGTTGGTTGTCCTGTGCACCAAAAGGATGCTGATTCAATGCTAGGGCACATACTGGGGATTGTGACTTGATCTCCAGTAGGGGGCGTGCAGGAGGCAGCCACTGGATGTTCCCTCTCAGTTTCTCAGAGGGTGGGGTGGGCAACATTTGAACCCTGGACAGCGTTGCTAGGTGATTAGAGCATTGCTCAGATGTTTTAGGAATGCATGCATGTGGATTGACTTCTGGGGAAGAGAGAGATAGATGTGGAGTTATATCTAGGAGAGAGGAATGCCTATTTTGAAAAAGACAAAGAAGTGTGTCTCCTGAAAAAGTACATCCTTACCCTTTTTTGAGGGGCATTAATGGGAAGTAGTCAAAATATAGTGTATGAGATTGAAGGGATTCTTGTCTGTTGCTAATGTAGACAAATATGATAGAGTTTGAAATTGACTTCTCAGGCCTGGGCATTAGAATATTTGAGTATTCATGACAAAGGGGGAAACAATTGGGTAGTTTTCCAGTTCTCTCATGGGGAGAGTTCACAGTATAAACTGTCAGGACTGTGGTTTGAAGAGATTGCTGCTGCATCATTCAGGTTTGGTGCACAACTCCTTTTACCTTCATGGAGCTGACTTGACTGAATAAGTAAGTGGGGGGCCCAGCTACCCTGTCGCTATAAAGGGAAGGCAGGCCTAGCTGGTTTGGCTCAGTTGATAGAGCATCGGCCTGCAAACTGAAGGGTCCTTGGTTCGATTCCAGTCAAGGGCACATGCCTGGGTTGCAGGCTTGATTCCCAGTGTGGGACATGCGGAAGGCAGCCCATCAATGATTCTCATCGTTAATGTTTCTATCTCTCCCTCTCCTTTCCTCTCTGAAATCAATAAAAAATATTTTTAAAGAAATAATAATTTTAAAAAATGGAAGGCAGGCTGTGTGCTCTCCAAGCTTGGTCTGCTGCTTTGCATCCACTTCCATCGATTCTTAATGGTTGCTCATCAGGCCTCAGATGACCAAATGGTGAAGCTGATCAAGAGCAAGTATGCTTTTGAGGAAGCCTTGAACAGTACAGGAGATAAACTTGAAGTAGCTGACTTCTCAGCCGCATGGTGTGGGTTTGGCAAAATGATAAAGCTTTTTTTTCATTTCCTCTGAAGTATTCCAATGTGGTATTCCTTGAAGTAGATGTGGATGACTATTAGGATGTTTCTGCAGAGTGTGAAGTCAAATGCATACCAACCTTTCAATTCTTGTTAATCCTCACCTGAGGATATTTTTTCCTTTATTTTTTTTATTTATTTTATTTTTAGCAAGAGTGCAAGGGAGTGGGGAGACAGAGAAACATTGATATAAGAAAGATGCATTGACTGGTTGCCTCCCGCACATGCCTCAAATGTGCTGGGGATTGATCCTGCAACCGAGGTAAGTGCCCTTGACCAGAATCGAACCTGAAACCCTTCGGTCCATGGGCCGACGCTCTAACCACTGAGCAACTGGTCACGGCCAACCTTCCAGTTTCATTTGTTTGAAATATATTTTTATTGATTTAAGAGAGGAAGGGAGAGGGAGAGAGAGAGACACATCAATGATGACAGAATCATTGATCGGCTGCCTCCTGCACGCTCTCGTCTGGGGATTAAGCCTGCAACCTGGGCATATGCCCCAACCGGAATTTGAACCGTGACCTCCTGGTCCATAGGTCACACTCAGCCACTGAGCCACGCTGGCTGGGCTGTTTGTTTTTTAAATATATTTTTATTGATTTCAGAGAGGAAGGGAGAGGGGAAGAGAGAGAAACATGAATGATGAAAAAGAATCATTGATGGGCTGCCTCCTGCATGCCCTCTACTGGGGATCGAGCCTGAAACCTGGGCATGTGCCCTAGACTGGAATTGAACCCAAGACCCTTCATTCCGCAGGCCACTGAGCCAAACCATCTAGGGCTACAAAAGGACAAAAGGGTGAGTTTTCTGGAGCTAATAAGGAAAAACGAAGTCACCATCAATGAATTAGTTTATTCATGTTTTCTGAAAACAGTTATCGGTTTTTGAAATTTTTTTTACTTACATAAAAGAAAGATCAAGCATAGAGACTATATACTCCACTACCATCTGAATGTAAATGACAACAAAATATTAGTTATACCATTAAAAATAAGTGGAGGATAGGGTTTCATGGGCAGGACATGGATGGGGGTTGGGGGGGCAGTTTTGTTACTGGAAAGGGGACCTGGCCCTGAGTCTGCCTGCCTTGGGCCAGCTGGTAGCGTGTGGGTTCTTGACTTTGTACAGGAAAGATTTCATAGCACAAGTCCAGGTGATTTCACTGCAGTGGTTCTCAACCTTCTGGCCCTTTAAATATAGTTCCTCATGTTGTGACCCAACCATAAATTTTCGTTGCTACTTCATAACTGTCATGTTGCTACTGTTATGAATTGTAATGTAAATATCTGATATGCAGGATGGTCCTAGGCGACCCCTGTGAAAGGATCGTTCAACCACCAAAGGGGTCGCAACCCACAGGTTGAGAACCGCTGTTTTAGAGGATGTTGAAACAGAACAGTGAAACCGAAGGGTGTAGGATAGAAGAACAGGAGAGACTAGACAGTGAAATGAGCCTAGACTGGGCTGCTTTGGCTCACTAAGAAGTCAGAAAAAAGGGGGTCTTTAGGACAAGTCAGGGCCCATTGCTCCCTGGATGCAAGTCTTGTGGGAGTCCCTTAGTTAGGACCTGCATGCCTGTGGGGGAAGACGAGAAGGAGGGGGAAGGCGAGGTGTGCTGCCTGGAGGGAGACTGCACTGTGGTATCTTCATTTTGAAGGTTTTAAAGGCTGGGAGTTTTAGGGAGGTGTTATAGGATGAGCTCAATAGATTATTAGTTCTATGCTTATGTTCCAAAATTAGATTTATTCCCTTAACTTCATCTGCCCTGGGGTGTAGTAGGCACAAATGGCACTAATAGGATCTCTGCTATCTATCTCCTGAGTAGGGTGATTTAGGCTATTTACCCTCTGGCTGGGGAGAGGTGCCACCATTACATTCCTGTCAAGTGTCCTTGGTTTAGTGAAGATAGGATTTTGCCATTTGCTAGATGGCTGTAAACTACTTGGTGACTTCACGATCTGCCCGTTTCCCTATTCTTGTTCTGGCTTACTAGCCTCAGTTTGGGGGATCAACACCCTATCTTGACCACAGATGATCTGCAGGAACCTCTGCAGTGAAGGTGGGAGCCCCACAGGCTGGGGTTGTATCTGAGAAAGGGTCGCTGTGGGTGTGGGAGCCAGTGAGATGGAAGGTGGGGATCCACTGGCAGAGCGGGTCGGGGCGTCTGGAGATCTTGTGACCAAGTCCAGGCGGTCCCAGGACAGCTCGAGCCCGCCGGTCCACTCACTTCCCTGAAAGGCTAATCCCGAACGAGGAGCAGGAAACGCCGCCGGGAGGAAAGGTGCCTTGGGAGAAAGGGCAGGGAAGTCCGCCGTTTTCCCGCCACTGCCGAGGGCGTGACCCCTGACGTCAGGCTCCGCCTTCGCAAAGTGGCGGGCGGCGGGCTCCGCCCTTACCAAGATGGCGACACGTGGGAACGGAAAGAGCTTACAGATTTTGCGTAGATCCTGCCTCCGAGGTGGAGGCGGGACATTCCTGCGGAGTGCGCCCGCCCCTTCCGCTGTGCGCCCGCGCGGCGCGATGACGTAACACGCTCCGCCCCGACCTCTCTGGCTCCCTGAGTTCCTGAGTCGTGTGCATCGGCAACGGTAGTGACGCGTGTTGCCCGGAGGATGGCGGCCGCCGGCTTACCCCGCGTGGTTCCCAGCGACCTGTATCCCCTCGTGCTCGGCTTTCTGCGCGACAACCAACTCTCGGAGGTGGCCAATAAGTTCGCCAAGGCAACAGGCGCTGTGAGTCCCGGACTTGGTTCACGAGCCGGGGTGGGAGGACCACAGGGCTCCGGGCCCAGCCATGGTTAGGTTTCCAGGTAGAGAGGTCCGTGGGGTCCGCCAGCCCAGTGTCTGCGGGGCCTTTGTGCGGGTTTTCGGTGGTGATTGGAGAGAGCCTGGAGTCCGCGAGGTCTTGACTAGGTAGCGCTGAGTCTTGTAGCTTTTTCTCTGTTGAGCGGTGCAGTGGCAGCAGCGTGGGACCCGCGTGGTCCAGATCACGTGGCTGGCGGAGTGGGAGCACCCGAAGAGGGAGTATCCAGTCTCACCGGAGGCTTTGGAAGCTCCTGGTTGCTGCTTTTGGCTTTAGTAGTTGATGGAAAGCGTGACGACCTTAACTCTCAATCGAATTTACTGGGGAGTCAAAGATACATAACATGCTTTAGAAGGGTGGGATTTTCCGTAGTAAAGAAAATGAACGAGAGTAGAGGCAGGATTCTGCTGTTAGTTATGCTGAAGTAGCATTGAGCATCATAGTTCTATCATGCGGGCATAACAATGAGCTTGGATCTTTGACTTGTGGAATCAAATATAGGGTTGGGACCAGGCTTTGTCATTCATTTAAAGATGTATAACTGGGGCAGCTTATTGAGTGTTCCTATTTCTATGGGGAAGTCATCATACATTTTATAGGATTTTTGTGAGTTTTAGTAATATATACAAAGTGGCAATCCCATCCAGTGCCTGGTGCTCATCAGTGAGTGAAAGCTGTTATCATTGGGTTAGTAACTTAGGATGTTCGGAAGACATGTGAAAGGAAGATGACTAGGAACGTGAAAGGTTTGGAATCTACATCTCAAGAAGAGCAGACATGATTGCATGGGCAAACACCTTGAGAGAAGATAGAATCTTTAGGA